GGGACAGCTGGCAGTGGGGGACAGCTGGGGAGTGGGGAGAGCTGGGGAGTGAGGGACAGCTGGCAGTGGGGGACAGCTGGGGAGTGGGGACAGCTGGCAGTGGGGGACAGCTGGCAGTGGGGGACAGCTGGGGAGTGGGGAGAGCTGGGGAGTGAGGGACAGCTGGGGAGTGGGGGACAGCGGGTAGTGGGGACAGCGGGCAGTGGGGGACAGCTGGCAGTGGTGGACAGCTGGGGAGTGGGGAGAGCTGGGGAGTGAGGGACAGCTGGGCAGTGGGGGACAGCTGGGGAGTGGGGGACAGCTGGGCAGTGGGGGACAGCGGGCAGTGGGGGACAGCGGGCAGTGGGGGACAGCTGGGCAGCAGGGCAGCCGGGCAGTGGGGGACAGCGGGCAGTCGGGGACAGCGGGCAGTGGGGGACAGCCCACTCAGCAGGCTCTCAGCTGCCTGTGGGAAGAAGTCTACCACCACAGGCACGGTCGTGACTGTCTACCATGGAAATACACGGCCTACTTCCAATCGTGATACGGAAGAGGACTGTGAATGCGGCGTCACAAAGAAATGGATATCCTCCTGGCAGTGGGGTCAGCCTCCCCGACTGAGCTATACGCAGGGAACGCGCCTGGAAACTCCACCCCAAACGCCCTGCACCTATGACGTCATCAGCCAACCGAATAAAGGAATACAATGGCTGGTTGCGTGTCCCAGAACACAGACTACTGAAGTAAAGATATTCAGAATTTTTGTGTCACAATGGGATTTTTTTACAACCACAGAATCTGAAGAAACATCTCACCTTCCAGTGACCTTGCAATTGTGTGTGAAATAACCATTATGACTAAAAGCCATACGTTAAAACAGACAAGGATGGTGCAGCTTAGTATTTCCAAAAGATGATCTCCGTGGAGGGACAGGTGTGTCTTAGCGGTGAAATCCACCTCTCCCCGACGACCGCGGCTGGGGCCCGGGAAGACGGGATCCTGAACAAGCTCCAGGGCTGGCGGGAGCTGTGGGGCACCCACGAAGTGACACCTGTGCCCGCGAGCTGAGGCAAGACTGCCATGCGCCTTGAGTTCCAAAGGAAATCAAGAGAGGCGTTCCCTTCCAGAATGTGATGGACTAGACCTGAGCATGGGTAAAAACGCACAGACCCCTCCTGGCCTGTGGAAAAAGGGGCTGTGCACAAGGAAGGCACCAGTGTGGGCCTCGGTGTGCAGGGTCTGCAAACAGAGCTGGACTCCCTCCATCCCCCGGCGGGGTGAGGGGTTGCTGCGATCACCTCAGCACGCCACACCACTCCCAAGGAGCTGTGCTGCCCAGGAAACGCGGGACGGACGGGCAAGCACTCCGCCATGGACGGAGGGGGTTTCCTGTCATCTGTCAGCAATGGATGTTATGTGACATCAGCCAGACCAAGATAAACATGGCGTGATCCGTGTCACTTGTAATTGGAACACTAAGATGTCAGGAGCGCAATAACCCTAAGTAGGAAGAGCAGGAGGTGAGGGGGATGGGGAGGGCCGGTCAGCGGGCACCGGTTACAGTTAGAGAGACGTGGGTGCTCACGTGGGGATTTCACAGGACGGTGACTGCAGACAGCAGCACACGGTCTGAGCACACCGCCGTGCAGTTCGGAAAGCGAGGAGAAACAAAACTCCAATGCTTTCATCATTAAAACAAATGAACAACAAAACAAACGACCGGCTTCCTCTGTGTGCACGTGGAGGCTTTACGCTCCCATCTCCTGTGGAATTCAGTAGGCTTCCCCGGCCCGCGGGGAGCGCCCGCTGCCAGCTTACCTCTGCAGGTGGGCCGGTGGTCGCTCCAGGCTGCCAAGGTCTCCGTGACTCTCTGGCAGGTCAGGCTCTTGGGTCCCTGGAGCACGTAATTGTCCTCACAGGAGAAGTGTACGCTTGCGCCAACCCTGCATCACCACAAACAGAAACAACATGCGTTACACACACGTCTTCTTCAAAAAGAAACCTGCAATGCACATCTGACCACGCTACACAATCAGAACACATGTGAGCACACACCGCGGGAAGTGGTGTGCGGGGCCGGCCCACGGACTTAACCTGTCGCCGAAGCACGGGTGAGCCGTGTGGCAACGGCAGAGTGTGGGGAAAGATTTTTACACAAGCCAGGGTGGGAAGGCCAAGTAGCAGGATCCACTTGCCAACACAAACATCCACCATCACCTCTGAAAGAAGGCCGGCGGGGTTACATTTCAGCACGCATCACACGGGGAAGAAGGAACTCCTTTGTCTCAGCACCCAGCCATCCATTGGCGCAGACGGCCCAGTGAACCCTTGCTTTGGCTCAGAGCTGCATCTGCAAACACATGCTCCAAGCCTGGAAACTTCAACCACATGTACTGGCCGAAGGAAGTCACCATGACTTCCTCCAGTGGCTGGCGGGCTGGCCACCATTACCACCGTGGGGGAGCGGGGGCAAGCGGGGGGATCCGCAACATCTTCTTATCCCCCTGGGGAAAACTGCAACCCCCCCCATGCCCCCTGTGGGTGTGACTCTGAGGACCTCTAAGGAAGTAGTTCTTTCCCTTTGCAGGACACACAAGCCCCGCCTGTGGACAATGGCAGCCTCCCCTCTCCTCCTCCCCCCTCACACACTCGGGACACTCATCAAAAAATTCGCCCAGTTTTCTAGGCACGATGCTCTGAGCGCTGGCCACGGATCGAAAACCCCTGGTCAGCTAAGTCCCTTGCGATGTCCTCCGTGTCCCTGAACCGACAGTGCCTCATTTCCTGGCTGCTGTCCAGGTCTGGACACACTCTTGCGAACAACACCATGTCTAAAGGTCACATAAAATAGGGGTCTCTACCGGGCTCATTTTCTGCTATGCCCAATTGCCTTCGGGCCTGAGAGGAGTCTGAACATTATCACCATGATAACAACGGGCTGAAGACTGCACATCATGTGAGAATGGAGAGTGCCAGAGGCCTCCCAGCACCGGGCGTTCCGGTTCCCCCAGACGGGCACGTCGTCTGAGGACCACGGGCTCCGACTGCTGAGCAGGCGCGGCAGCTCGGCCGGGGATGGCGTTTCTGAGGACCACGGGCTCCGACTGCTGAGCAGGCGCGGCAGCTCGGCCGGGGATGGCGTTTCTGAGGACCACGGGCTCTGACTGCTGAGCAGGCATGGCAGCTCGGCTGGCATTTCACGCAGCCTCAGTCTCATCTCTGGGGCCGTGTCCTCCCATCCATGGAGACTTTCCAGTGCAGGTTCCGGTAAGGATTACAAATCCGTCCACATCTAGCAGGTACAAAGGGCGCCCGGGCACAGGCCTGCGCCCAGGAGCCCTGAGCTGTCCTCTTCCACAGAGGCTGCGTGAGCAGACTGCAGGAGAGTCCTCGCAGTGCGGGAAGCGTGGTGTCCGGGCCCGCCAATAGCCCACCAATACCGCACGGCAGAGGGACCTGGCACTACCGCCCAGCTTCCTGAGTTTCTGCTGTGTGTGGCGGAGGGGCAAGGCGGCGCTGGCTTCCACAGCTCTGACCCTTCATCCTCATCCCCAGCCCTCTCTGTTCTCCACTTCCTCCTCTCAGACCCGGCTCCACAGGAAGTCTGTGGATCCCGCTTTGTGTCTGGGTCTTGGGGTCATAACCAAAGAACAGGGAAAACACGCTTCACAGCTGACCAACGACACATATGAATTTAGAAATCCAGCCTTAACCTGAGCTATTCTAGAACAGAAGTCCTCCAGGCAAGTGAGGCAGAGATGTGTGCTCACACACATACATATGCACACACCCATCGACACTCCGTACACCAACACTTCTTACCTAGCACACAGACCTCATCCCCCGCATGAAAACAGTTTTAGAGAAGCAAAGATTCTCCATGATTTTTACACGTCTTACTGTCCAGGGTAAGAAGTGTCCAATTCATTATGACAAATCCTGGTTGAACTCAGTGCTAGAGACATCAGTCCCGCCCCATTGCTCATAGCTTCTGTTGCCTGAGACTGGACACAGCAGAATGGGATGTATTTCTCCTTTTTGCTGAAGACACAGGATGTTTTAAGTACTCACTTTCAATACCAATTATGAATGTGTAAGTGTGATGCTTGGAGAGGGTATTTTACATAAAAACGTACACATCTCTTGGTGTCTACATATGCATCCACTTGGCACTAAAGGCAGGGGACAGCCATGCAGCTCAGGTGAGTGCTGGATTACAGGGAGACCCTCTGCTGTTCTGTGGAAGAATGGGAAGAGGCTTGGTGATCATTAATTGATTAAATGATCAACACTGAATGGAAGCCCAGGTTTACCTGGGATTCACAGTCTCGAATAAAGCACAGCTGGGGGACATCTGATCTGTGTTCCTCTTACCCCACGGCCAAGGAAGGTGGCTTCCGCTGGACGTTAACCCTGAGAACCACTTCTATCCACCGATTCTCTCATCCTTTGCCCCATGTCAACTTGTTATTTCAGTTTCTTCTCTATCTTATGTAAGTGATGGGTCATTCTGAACAATAAAATCTTAAACTACATAACTTTAACCAAAGGACGCTGATTTAATAAAGTGATGCACCACACTCCCCTCAGTCTCGACCCTGGCACATTCATTCTATACTATTCTTCCCAAGTTTGCAAAACCAGCATTTTACCAATTAAATAGATGACTTGCCCTGTGATTAGAAGAGAAGCAGAAATGGGTCTACAGCAACGTGCTGAATGCGAGTCTTACATGGTGAGACGTTCCCACAGATCCTTCTCCAAGACCTCCTGACAGAAGGCTCCATAACCGGTCACATGACGTCCCAAGAGAAGGCTCCATAACAGACCACACCACCTCCTGACAGAAGGCTGGATAACAG